CGGAACTGAACCATTTACCAAAAGTGAGTACGCCGCAGTAAAGAAAAGAATAACGTTAGGGAAAGCACCTGGGCCTGACGGAATACCCCCAGAGGTACTTAAACTGTGTGACTTTGACGATATCATGCTTCAATTCTGTAACAAGCTTCTTGAAGGGGAAAACCAGAACAATGGTCTATTGGGAACATTGTACCAATACCAAAATCTGGAGACTTACGGGATTATACCAACTACAGGGGCATCATGCTTACAAACATTGCAGCAAAGATCGCAAACAAAATGATTTTAAATCGCATACAGCCTGCAGTTGAAAATATACTGAGACCTAACCAGAATGGTTTCCGCCCAGGGCGATCCACAACTTCTCACATTCTTGCCCTTCGGAGGCTGATAGAAGATGTGCTCAACCACAATCTTGAAGCAATCATCATATTTGTGGATTTCCGCAAAGCATTTGACAGTGTTCACCGAGGGAAAATGATGGAAATCCTCAGGGCCTATGGGATTCCTGGCACACTAATAAATGGTATCAATCTTCTATACCAAGATACTCGGGCAAAAGTGATTACTCCAGAAGGTGAAACTGAGTTATTCAATATCACTGCTGGTGTCCTTCAAGGAGATACCTTGGCACCATATCTCTTTGTTATTGTCGTAGATTATGTCATGCGACAAACTATCGGAGATCGCGAATATGAACTGGGCTTTGAGCTAGAAAGACGAAAAAGTAGGCGTCACCCACCAGTCGTCATAAGCGATTTCGACTTCGCAGATGACATAGCACTTTTAGCCGAGAAAATAGCACAGGCACAAGAACTCCTATGCCGTATGGAAAACGAAGCTGCTAAAGTCGGACTCCAGCTAAACGCCGGCAAAACAAAACTTATGGCGTTTAATCAGAAAGATCCAGTCATTATTAAAACTAAAAGTGGCGACACTGTCGAAGTAGTTAAGAACTTTAAATATCTGGGATCCTGGATGAAAGACGCAGAAACAGATTTTGAGGTCAGAAAAGCATTAGCGTGGAAAAGCTGTCATAAGCTAAGCAAGATTTGGAAGTCTAATCTACCACGTAAAACCAAACAAAGGCTGTTTATTGCCACAGTTGAGTCCATTCTCTTATATGGATCCGAAACGTGGTCCCTGACCAAATCACTCGAAAAAAGGCTGAACGGCTGTTATACCCGAATGTTACGAATGTGCCTAAACATTCCATGGCAACTCAAACTTACAAACCAACAGTTGTACCAGGATCTACCTGCTGTCACAGACAAAATTCGAGAACGCAGGATGAAAATCGCCGGTCACTGCATTAGACACCCGGACATCCTGGCATAAAGTCTCGTTCTGTGGAAACCGTTAAAAGGAAAACGGAGCAGAGGGAGACCCAGAGTAACATTCGTGGATAATCTGCACCAACTTACAGGACACCAGGGAGATAAAGAAGGCCATGGAGGACAAAGTGCTTTGGAGACAACTCTCAGGATTGGTTCGAGCGGGAGCTCGAACTAAGTAAGTAAGTAAGTATGGCGAATGCTCAGATAAAATATAGGCAAAACTAAGATGTTTTTGTTTTCATGAACACACTGTCCTTACACAGGCACCCATTGTTAACCAGCTATTTAAACATTTGAGGTCACAAATAGGCATAAAATTGGTGTGGAATTGTTTAGGTACAGTACCGGTACTGAGGGATTAGGTATTTTGGACCTGTACCTAATCAATTTTTCCGGTACAGTATCGGTACTGCGTACCGGTACACAGCTCTATTCGTTGACTTTCTTTTTGCTGCACCTGCCACCACGAATGTTCTGCAAACATGTCCATTTTTCTCAGACCGTGAACTTTTGCTACCGCGAACATGAAGCGACCTTACAGTAACTTTCTTCCTGTTGCCTTAAACCCAGAACCAGTACAAACTTTGCACCGAGTGGCTACATTAACATGTTGAAGGTTAAACAAATCAGATGTGCACCTGTAGACCCCGGTACTCACCTCCTTGTACATCTGTTTCACACATCTAATGGGGACAGCACCTGTCAGTCCAGCTCTGTAGGAAATGGAAAAAAAGTAAAAGCATGCTTAAAGTATATAGTAAATCTTTCTGACTAAAACCACACCATCAGCACTGGAAAAAGACAAAAAAGTTTGAATCAGCACCATCTATTATTTATTTCCTCTCGTGAGAGTAAATTCTTTGCATGAGATACCAAAAGCATTGAAGACCACAGTCTACCTTGTCAAATTGGTACATGTACATGTACCAGGGCTCGAAATTCATTTTTTGGCACCGTATAAAACAAAACACATTTAATTTAACAGATCTTACTACTCCTCTTATAAGCTTGAATCTGAAATTGGAGCTGACTTCAACATTTTACTCAAGTACTACAACAAAGATTTCATTATTTTTCTGACACTTAGATAAAAGTGCCTACAAAAATACCTACAAAAATATTTAGATGCACCTTTGCAGTGGGTGCACTGCTCCAATTTCGGGTGCACTAAAGTGCATTTTCGAGTCCTATAGTTACCTGCATTGGTACAAATACAATGTAAAGTTTTTGAACCCTGTTTAGGTACCTAGCCCTAGTACTTCAGGATTCTACATGTATCTTTAGAAGTTCTTTACCTGCCCATACACTCCAGTGCAGCTGCATAGGACTGTAGGTCAGGGTGGTGCCCATCTTTGGTCATCATGAAGAACAGGTGCCGAATTTTGTCCATATTGGCCTGCAAAAAATCATATCAATCAAGTTCAAAATGAGAAAAAAAAAGATGAAAGTAACTTGCTGTTATCACATTTCTATAGAAGAACATTATAGCATAATAATATAAACTGCAAGCATTTGAGGACTGCACACAGACTGAGAGTGTGAGAGATAGAAAGAAAGAGGAAAGAGGGAGGGGGAGAGAGAGAGAGGAAATCAAGAGAGAGAGAGAGAGAGAGAGAGAGAGGAGGAGAGAGAGAGAGGAGAGGAGAGAGAGAGAGAGANAGAGAGAGAGAGAGAGAGAGAAAGAGAGAGAGAGAGAAGAAAATTCCATACCTGTTTAGCCCATCCCTTCAGCACCACATTGTAGATATCAGCATTTAAGTGTTTCCTTTTCTTTTTCTGGTTCTTCAAGTAATGTAGGGTTCTAGTAGCTCTCTCCACCTGTATATCAGCAATACAATAAAAAAATATTTGTTATCCATATGGTCTGTTGTAAATAGACAAACAATATTGCAACTATACTTTTCAGCAATTTCCATTGAAAGATGATGGTGCAAAACTGTCAATATGCCATGTTTGAAGACTAATTAAAAAAATTCATAACATATAAGCCTTGATCTGGACTTAAAAAAACAACCCTTTTTTACTCAAGGACATATGGAATATATCCCTTAACAATCAAAACAGCAAACCCCAACATACAGATGTACATGTACAATGTAGCAGGCAGGAATATACCCCTAGTCAGAATATACCCAGGTACATTCTAGCCAGGGGTACATTCCTGCCTGTTACACTTGTAATACAAAGTTTACATACACATTTATTATCACATACATGTAGCACTATACAAAGGAGCACATTACCTCTCCTATAGACACACACGCTTCCATAAATGACAAGATGTAAGCTTGCTCCTCATTCTGCCTCCTCTCAACGTTCTTCATCTTCTCCATCTCTTCCTGTCTTCTTGAGACATCTAATTTCTCCTGAGCTTCTTCCTCCTCCATCTCCTCGAGAACGTCCAGCTCTTTCTCTACTACTGATTCCGTGACTCTGGGAGCGCTTCTGAAAGGTTTCTTGTGCTGCGTCTGCCATCTTGGTGCGCTAACGTTTCTCTGTGACGATTGCATCTTTTCCACTTGGTCAGATGTATACATGTTGATGTTGGATTTGCTGGAGAGACCTCTCTGTGAAAGCGTGTGTTCTGGTGGGCGAGGGGGGGACATCACAGGTTCGAGTCTTACGTGACTAGACACCTTCCTCGTCTTCAGTATCTCTTGTTTCTTCTGTCTCTGTCTGACCACTTCACCTGGAAGATGGAAAAAGAATCCGTGTCATCAGGTTCGCAGGTCACTGAATAAAAGAGGGTCTGCAAGGGGGGGTCCCAACAACGCTATACGCTGAATTCGGAAACCTCTCAATTACGCTTTACGATAAATTCCAAGTGGCTACAACGCATTGCGTAGAATTAAAACGCCGAATATGCTCTACGCAAAAATATTAGAGCGATCCGTCTATGCTCTACTACGTAGAATTAAAACGGCCAATTATGCTCTACGGAAAAGGGCTTGCGGGCCCCCAATAAAGAGACTCTAATTTTACACAACAAAGAGGTTTATTCAGCCAACGTTTCAGTGACCGTCTGTCACCTCCCTCAGGGCAATTCTGACTGGTACACATTGCACAGCATCGGCTGAATAAAACTCTTGGTTGCAGTGTAAAAAAGTCTATTTACTACTAATTTAGTCAGGAAAAAGAACCATAATTGTTCTTCTAAAGCTACATCATGTTATATTACCTCCTTCGTTTCTTAAAATCAGAACCACAGATTCTGTCATTAGAGACTGTGGGTAAAGTCTTTGTCAAAAGAGATTGCAAGCAAGATCTCTGCTGCCAGCACAATTGTAGATTCCACTGGAAGAAATCCTGTTGCAATTTTTCTGTGCATGTGGATACCTATATACACTGTATACATACATGTGTACATCATGTGTTATAACATACCTTTTTCTGGCTTGCTTAGCTGTTGGGCTCTAGATGACAACACTGGAAAGCAAACACAAAATAATACGTCGGGAATCTAAAAATAACATTAACGGAGCAACTTCACATTTCGTTATACACTTATGATGTCACGTGACAATATCAGTGAACTTGATTTCTATGTAACGTTAAGTCAAATTGTACCAAATAAATCTTCCTGTGTCATTTGAACACTCTTTGTGAAGAGGTACAGGTATGGGATAGGAGAGAACGATTACAATTCCTTACAACAATGGTTACCCTGGGAGCCATCCTCGTTGGTCGTCGGGGAGAGTTAGTAAACGCCGCGGGCCCTGGTTAGCCCGTCCCCGGCACACGCCCTCCCCGCCCTACGCTGGGCACCACATGCGGAAACCCTCTAGGCCGCGCGCTGAAACCCTATGCGGATACCCTCTAGGCCGCGCGGTGTTTACTAACTCTCCCCGACGACCAACGAGGATGGCTCCCAGGGTAAACAATGGTAAACAACTGTTACAGCTAAACTGTTTTCAGCTCATACCTGTGTACAACTCCAGGCGTGGGTCCTTCTTCTTTGCGGCCACATTTGCATATGTCCGGAAGCCAACAGAGTTCTGGTACCCTACAGCATTGTATCAAACAGGAAAAAGGACAAAATTGAGTGTGATTTCAGTGAAACTGTATATAATCTTGCTTGGTATTGCCAGGGTATCTTAACTGGTGTTAAATTTTGTTCATTGTTCTCAAGCTTCTGTGCAAATAACTTTAATTCATTTTAAGTCCTCCGTGAACGTTATCAATATTTACTTTGTAGAAAAATATTCAAATTTTGGAATCCACAATTAGCATTATAATCGCTGTGCTGCATCGTCAAATACATGATCAGACAGGCCACCTTTACCGTAAACCATATCAGGGTTATAGATCTAGAAAGTCAGTATAGATACATCTTCCCAATACTTTCGTACAACAATAAATTATATATGATAACGTTATATGATGGAGCAATTATTTTACCACGTGGGGCGATGTCAAATAAATATTTATGGATCAAATTATTCAACTACTCGATGTCAAAACGTAAAAATTCTAAGTGCTGCCGCCCGATCATATCAGTAAGCTCAACAAGAATATATACAAACTCGTAGCATAACAATTAAGTGTTGTGATATGATCATACTATAGTCCGGAAACGCCCGATCCCACACTCACGTGTAGCTGAGGTTCTGAGTTTGTCGCACGTCGGACACCCTCCAAACCAGACCGATCCCAGACCAGCAGACGACCCCAGCGTCGGTACGGTCACCCGGAAACTCCGGACGGACGTCAGGCGAAGGATCAGCGTCATGTTCTGCTGCGTGATGAGCGCGATTTTAATCTAACACGCCAAGTTATGGAACCAAAACAACGTGACCTACGCATAGTTCAACAAACAACCCTACGTCGCCATGTTGGAATAAACCAATCACACTTGGAGGGGGTGACATATTTTTTAAAAAGTTTTTTTTTTAGTACCCCAATAACAATCATGGAGATAGAAATTATAATTTCGACATACCAATCGATTTCTTTTCGCAGTTGAATTCAGAAATGAACAATAATGCGACAGGGTAACCCAATTTTGCTTTTCACGAATCTGTATGCAGTATTCAGATACATCGCATGGTGGTGCTACAGTACAGCCCTCCCGGCCGACTCCAGAAAAGTTGAGATGGAAAAGTTACAAGGTTGCTAAAATTTCTTTCAAGTAGAGATCGCAAAATGACAAATAAGCAATTCTAAAAATGGGTGTAAATTATAGGGCAAAAGTGTATTAGATGTTTTTATAAGATATGCGTATTTGTCGCCAAGAGTTCGAGCATATATAAAAGGTGTCACTCTCACAATATAAAACTTATAAATAAGCCCAATACCTTTAATAAAGACCATCGAGCTATTAAACGTATGCGTTACTAATCAAATAAGGTGCGTATTGTGTACATGATATTCTCAAAAGCCCCTGCGATGCTTTGTATCCGCTTGAAGATTACCTTTCCATGCCACCCAGTATCTGCTTGGAGATCCACAATCCATGCCACCCCGTATCTGCTTGTAGCTTGTATCTGTTTGGTCACATTATCCCAGCAACCAATCAGCAAGAAGAAACTACTCCCACCTGCAAATGGAATGCATGACTATATTTGGCACACATGACCTACTTGCTCTACAGGAGTAATTGATAATTAAGAAAAATACAAATCCAGGTGGTAGGACCACGTCGTTGCAAGATGGTGAGTGTGTTTCGAAGGGGCAGTTAAAGTTCGCCTTGGAAGACGCGATACTTTCGTGATTTTTGGTATGTACAAATGTAGGTAGCTTTCATGATGCTTGGTATAATTATGTGACAATTATGGAAATATGCATGTAATTTGCAGAATTTATGGAGAAATTCAATAAATCAGCTGCATTCCATGATAGGACTATTGAAGCTTGTGACATTGGTAATTGAGAACGAGAGAAACACAGGCAGATATTGATCATGTAAATGAAGATTTTTTTTCGCATAATTAATGAGAAATTTTATAATTATGTAATGATAACTGCCAGGAATTTCATACTTATGGTATTTAAAAGTTCAGCGAAGGTGAACATCATTAAACATAATGTATTCAAATCAGGACCTCATTTGCATAATTTATGAGGAAATACTAGAATGGCATTGTTTGTTTGTTAATATACATGTATCTGTCTTTTGGTTGATAATATGATAAATTGATATAATTCATGAAAATGAGGATCCTGTTTGCACAGTCAGGGGGAATAATACAAATTGTCAGTCATAAAGATAAACTACTTAATTATGTTACTTTTATACTGTCAGTGATCACTCTGATTCGAACTCAGTTTATGTTACTTAATTATGTTGATTATTTTAAATTATTCAATTTATGTTAATATTGAGTTGAATATTTTTTTCTGTACATTTCTGTTGTTATAATTTTGAATTTTATGTGAACTCCAGGAAGAATAGTGGTCAGTTGAACACTAATGGAGATCTAATAAAAACAAACAAACAAACAAACAAACATCATTTGGCTAAGGTATGATGTCGGGGAAATCTAGTTTAAGCTACCTACATACCAAAAATCATGACGATCCGTGGACCGGTTTTTATGGTTTTTCTCCTTCAAAGATTTTGAAACAAATGTCCCTTCAGTTCCTAGCTTTAAAAGTTCCAAAATATCTGTTCAATGACGGCCGGCGGGATTACAAGTCTTGTTGTGAAGGCATGTTGCCTGATAGAGAAAATATAGTCCTCAGTCTCAGGCCTTGTTCATATGAAACCACCCGAACCGCGATTCGGGTAACTCGCATTCCTCACATCTGGTCCACGTGCCATACATTCCTTTCAAACCGTGCCCGATCACGATTGTCCGAAACTGCATTCATTGTTGTTTGATGAAAACACGCAAGGTAGCGTGTTATTAATGTCAGAGGTCAACGACCTGCTTGCTGGTGCCCCCCTCCCAGCGTATCTCGGCCGCAAATCACGATGCGGGAAAACCGATTCGAAACCACTAGAAGTGGTTTGGGATCGAGGCGCTTTCAATGTGATTTGGAGCGTTCAGATGGGGCCACTTGAAACCGGCTTCGGGGGAAACCACATATGTAAAGCGCCTTCACCGACTTTATATGAACAGGGCCTCAGTCGCGTTGTGGTGTGGTGTGGTGTGGTTGTTCAGTCCGCCCGGTGTTGTGTTGTCCTTGTCTGCCGTTTGAAACCATGTAGTACAGGAGCATGAAAACCTCGCCCGTTCTCTAATTTGGCAAGTGAACAAAGGATTCAAGATCATTCAAACTTCCTCTTTTGTCAGCAACTATTGAGCGGTACACTGTGGCCTGATAAATTGGAGACTAAACATTCGAAATTAGATTATCTTCCTCTTCTCGTTTCCAGGTAGCTATAGTATAGGTATAGTGCCAAAGTTGCGCGTACATTGCGAGTTCCTAGGTCTGCAACTCAGAAGGCGACTTTCTCCAGACTATGGGGCTATTCTCGTCTACAGCAAAACGTCGTGACGTGCAAGAACTACAAGACGACATCCACAGCGACAAAAAGTCGTACTTAGAAAGTTGTAACAAACCAACAACAGCTGAAAAACGAAGAGGAAGCCGAGTTTTGCCTCCGCTGGTTAGAAGGATTTCAGAAGAAGAGGGTGTCGGGCCAGGAGGACTGATGATCTGTACACAGGAGCAGGAAAGGTGCACATTCTGAGCCTATTTGAGAAGACCTCAGCACCAATATGTACATTCAAGTAGAGAGACTTTTCTTTTTAGGCCGCGCAAGCACTACTAGCGAGGTTGACTGAAACTGCAGATTTTTTTAAAAAGAATGGAGGGGCACGGCCAAGGTAGGGGCGTGTTTGTGATTTTTCGTCGATGATCGGATAAAGAAACGGGTACTTTCTGCAACCCATTGTGTTTTCTGCACACTTGGTTGTCTGAGGTGGCAGCTAAATTTTCAGACGATCACGTGAGGTGAGCAAGCAATCATAACACTAGTAACAGTCACCATCTTGCAAGATTGAATGGCCGGCTTGTCTTGGTGCTTACGCCCTTGCCTGAAGACTGTGTATAACATCGCCATCGCGAAATTAAAAGGTGAACTTGCCCTGGTAAATGGTAATGGCCTGGACCAGCTGTGACATCCTTACCAAGACTGAAAGGTGATCCCACTAGCCCAGCAGAAGCACCATGTTGGTAAGAACTTTGGACACTTTATTTGTGTTTACATGCAATCGGACAGAGCCTTAGTATTTCGGCTAGAAAAAATATATTGTTGTTTTGTAGGATTCGGCAATGCTTTCAAATTCTTCAGGGGAAAATGGTAGCAATTCACTATAGGGACTCATTGATGATTGCGTTTGTAAGTGACCTTTGTGACTCACACTAGCAGGTTGATATTTGGTACACAGTCACACAAAAGATTTTATTGGTATAGTGGGGAAATGGGACATGAATAGGCCACATAACAGACTGTTGTCTATACACGTATTGTCACTATGCATATATGATTGAGTTTGTCAAATTCCGATATGCAACATTGTGTTACAAGCACAGCGTTAACCACAGATATATTTTGTAGGTCGTATGAAAACTGTAGCTGTATCTTCGGCTAAGAGTGCATTCACAATTTCTTCTGTGTTTTTCCTTTCAACAAATTGTATTGTGAGTCTGTTTTATGATTCAACCCAGGCCTGTGGTTCAGCTTGCCCCCGAATTCGCCCCTCTAACACCCTGACCCTCGTCCCGAAACAGTCTTGTTCGAATTCAATGATAACTACGTTTTGTCTAGTAACTACATTGAGCTTAGGGTGATCCTGGGACCCTTCTGTGTCAAGCCAACAGATTTCCAAAGCACCAGTGTACAAAAATGTCGGGCCTTAGCAACTACTAGTGTGGGGATATAATTCGAGTTCAATGATAGTTACGTTTTGTTTAGTAATTACATTGAGTAGGACGATCCTGGGACTGAATATGGGTCTTAGATACATCAATAGCACCCTTCTGTGTCAATCCAACATAATTTCAAAGCACCAGTGTACAAAAATGCCCGGCCTTGGCAACTACAAGTGTGGGGGATAAATTCGAGTTCAATGATAGTTACGTTTTGTTTAGTAACTACATTGAGCTTAGGACGATCCTGGGACTGAATATGGGTCTTAGACATCAATAGCACCCTTCTGTGGCAAGCCAACATAATTTCAAAGCACCAGTGTACAAAAATGCCCGGCCTTGGCAACTACAAGTGCGGGGGAATAATTGGGTTATGGGCGACAAATCCATTTCACTTCTGAGGCTATATTGTCATGCCGACGACTGTTACATTTGTGCCCTAGGCGAACGGTTAAACCCACATTATCCTCGCATTTGTGCTCCTACCTTCTGGTGGGATAATTGCTTTCTAAGTGATTGGCGAGGTCACATGGCAAGGTCATGTATAAGTGAGCACGCCAGGGACACGGGCACAGCATGCTTGATAATTAGATTATACATGTATCGATTCCATTCGCTACGTACAAAGGAGACTTTGTTCTGATAAAAGAAATGTACGTGTGGCCAGTCACGAAGATGTGCCCCATTGGATAAAATCATTGTCGATTTGATGTGATGTTCAGCATTGAAGTTCGACCTTCCGCACGTAATAATTGTTCCAAATCAGTATAGCAATCAGAAACGAGTGGAACAGCCATCCGAAATGATTAAAACGAACGGAAACAATCCATATGCATATACAAGTTGTAATATCACTCTTGTAATATAGCGTTATGTATGTTTTTGTACCATCTATGCGTAAAATGTGTGTATAGATTTATTAGGACTTAAAATGATGTAAACTTGATCTTTTTGATATGAAAAGTTTCCTGCATGCCCATTTGAGTTTCTCATGAATAAAGAATCATTCATTCAAACAAACAAACAAACAAACAAACAAACAAACAAACAAACAAACAAACAAACAAACAATATTTTATGACGTGACCACGTTTCGTACTGTCGCTTCCAATACATTAAAAAATGTAATAATGGGCGCTAGTTTCATGGGATATGCTAAGTGCTTGACATACTGCATGTAGTCTCCACCAGACAAACAACAGGGGTTCAACAATAACATTTAGCCAAATAGGGAGAATAATTGGGAGTTTAGCTACCGTATAAATTTGCCCTCGCCGTTAGGAGCTGAAATTAGCCCTCCGGCGGACTGACTCTCCTGGCCGGTCGAATACTTCCCTTTTTACCGAATTCTACTATCCACACCCCGTAGGATCTAGGAAGGCCTGGTGGAGACTAATGCTGCCGAGTAAATACTGCAACAAGCAGCAGTTTAACTTTAACTATGTAAGTACAATAAAGCTTTTCTTGTCCTCAGAAGGGCGACCTCTAGCGATGTCAGCCTGAACTACAATGGGAACAGGCTCGTCAGTGGACAAGTACAGGGACAAGTGTCAGCTCGCGGTTGGACAGCAAGGGCAACACCACAAGAGACCAGCTCCTAGCAGTGACCAGTGTCAGACTTTCTTTGACCTTAGCAGTGGCCGAAGGCAATCTGCCTCGCCGCAAAAGGCCAGTATGACTAAGACCACAGGAAAGGACAATGATGATTTACTAATCTCGCGCCAGCCGGCGATCTACCCAGCCGTTACAGAACCGAATACACGGACTACAGATTCAAGATGAAAACTAGAAAAGTAACATTTGCGAAACAAATGCATAATGTTTACCTTCACATATGGTCTGCTCTGTTAATTCTTACTCAAATACCGGTACATTCATAAATATGGTCAGACAGGAGTCTAAATCCCTCCTGCTATAAAATTGCAGCATGATGTAACCCAACACTAGTTACCATGGTAACAGACGGTCTGGTTCAGGTCATTGACCTTTCTGGTTTGGAGAAGAAGAGCTAGGAAACGTAGCAAAAACAGTATGTTTTCATTCGGTAAATATAAGGATAAAAGAATAACGTAAGAGTCTTAGGAACAACTAGGAAGAACATTCTATCTAATATAGGTCTTTTAAGAAATCTTTGAAAAGATTTCTTCTCTCTTTTTAAAGCAAATGGAGATGACTTCACATAGTTTTTCTATTGTGTGGTCATTACTGGTAGACATGAGGCCAGATGACTGAAAATCTCTTTCTTTGTTCTACCTTTACACAGTTTGTCTAAGTGGATATTTCTAAATACAAATGTAGTATGTTACGTTCGGCATAATAAAACTTACAGTCAAGTAGTACAAAATGTATCTTCTAAACAGAAATATTTTTATTTATAATGAAATTTGAAAAACCGTGTATAGATCTACTTATTGGGATACTTTATTGTGTCCGTTAGCTGACATTACAACTGTAATTTTTGCGAGCAGATAATCTCCACGGACATTTTTCATACCTATACAGCTGTCTTATAATATAAGAAGCGAGAATTTGAATGTGTACATAGTAATCGAACCAGTAGTCAATAGTACACATTAGTATGTATATAGTGAGATATCTCTGTACATTTTGTATAGTGAGTGTTTTATACATGACCTCTACTTAGCTCGTAAGAGCATGAACGTACAATAAAGGCCTTTCATTCATACATTGTATTGGCCAACACAGTGACAAACAATGACTGACAATGTATAGCGTGCTTTGTAGACTTTGGGCGTTGTTCAAAACTGAGCTTGATAAAATGTACCGCACAGGCCTTCATGTGGCTTAGTACATACAAATAAATCGGTGTGTTGCACCTAAGGGCATGTTGATTTGATTACATAGATGACATCCGGATCCGCGCGCGCATGAATTTTCGGCCATTTAAAAAAAGTTTTCGACCATACTGTAAATCGTACAAAATGAGCGAATATATGTCGTATGTTGCAAAAAAAAGTATTGGAAAACGATACTAATGCATAGAATGCTGAAATCAATTCAGGAAAAGAAGAAAATGTGAAGAAATGAAAATGAAGAGTCTATTATTATTCGCCATACCATACTAGCTCTGTGTGTCATTTGTTCAACCTTTATGACCACGTAGATTTCATAATATATCTTTCTTTCTTTATTCTTTATTTCAGGCGCAAATTGGCCCATAGTAGACAAACAATTAAAATAACAAGGTGCACACATAGTAAAAACGGTAGGGTTCGGTACATATACATACGGGAAAGGCCTTACCGGTAGACTAGGCCGATATAGTGATCCCAGTAGTGACTGGTGGATGATAGGTCTGAGTGGATTGCGAGTTTTATGATACTGTTATTACTGTTGAGGAGCCGATTGGTGAAAGAGTGTGTTAGTTTACGTCTGCGAGCATCGAAGGTATCGACAACCTCAGTCACAAACATTCGACTGGCGCTCTCGAATTTTCCATATGAAAACAATATTCTAAAGGCGTTGTTAGGCCACACCGCCTTAATTTTATGGATGACATCCTCGGAAGACCCCCAAACTAGTGCGAGCGGGCGAAAAAAAAAAAGAAAAATCCGGCACAAAATAAAAATGCTACTAAACCGCAGGAATACAAAGCCGGTATTGTGAATTTGGCGCATTACATCGCGATGTATACGACAGGTCAGCACATGCTGGCTTTTTGCGGAATTTATGAATGAACACTGAGTCGTGGAGCTTCGGTAGCTTGGGTGCCGTCCTCCAGAGTTACCACCGGCTTCGTTGTCGAATGGACTACCCAAGCCTAAAGCCAGGCCAGAGACTCGGAAGACGTGATCTTTTTTTTTTTTTGAGATCAGGCGAAAATCAATGCGCGCGCGGATGTCATCCATAAAATTAAATCGGTGTGACCTTATAAGCCGTTCGGAGTTTGCGAATAGCGCCCAGAGTGTAGCGTGTCCACAACTGGGCGCAATACATAGAGAAACAGTATGCGTTGAAAAGTGTGCGCTTCACTTCTGTAGAGGCAAACTTAAATTTACGAACTAAGGAATTGGCTCTGGTGTAGAAGCCTCTAATGTGAGTACGGATCGACTCGTCATCAGACAGGTTGGTAGTTATCTGGTTGCCCAGGTAGTTCACAGAAGAAACATACTGTAGGTTAGTTCCATAAAGCCTTACTGAAGGGGGCGCACAGTTCAACCGAAGTCTGTTACATGGAAAGTACATACAATGGCTCTTCTTTTCGCTGAAGAGAATATCGTTGCGATCACCAAAGCTTTCACAAATTTTTCAAAAGTTTTTGCAGTCCTTTAACAGAAGGACAAATAATACATATGTCGTCTGCATACAAAAAATGGTTCACAATAGTACTGCCAATATAGCAGCCAACACCGCTCGAGTTCAGCTCAACACTAAGGTCAGAAATGTAAACATTAAAGAGAAAGGGAGACAGTAGGCTACCCTGTGGCAAACCGTTACTTACAGTAAGATTGTCAGAAAGGGAGCTGCCCCAACGCACCCTAAAAGTCAGAGTATTATACCAGACTACGAGTAGCCGGACTATGTACAATGGAACGTGCCTATCGATTAGTTTTTTAAAGAGTGACCAATGATTGACACGGTCAAACGCTTTTGCGGCGTCGAGAAAACATACAAACACGGGGGAGCCACGGCTCTGATAGTAACTGATTACCTCCTTCAACGCAAACACACACATGTCAGTGCCATGATGTTTCTTGAAGCCGAACTGGTTATCCGGACTATGGAGGTATTCCTCTAGGCGCAGTAGAAGCAAAATTTCCAGAGCTTTACAAAACGGGCTGGCGACCGCTATTGGCCGGTAGTTATCTCTATCAGTCAAACTACCATTCTGTTTTTTGATGATGGGAATCATAACGGTACAGAGTAGCCTAGATGGAATGTACCCATGCCGGAGCACCGCAGAAAATAACAAGGACAGTAATGTGGACAGCCGGGGACCTGCATATTTCAGGTGCTCGGCTGCAATCCCGTCAGCATCACACGATTTACCATTGGTCAACTTGTTGATTGCCTCAGATACCTCGTCTACGGATACATACATTCCTGGGTTGTCAGCAACACCTGACTCAACTGTGTTGATTACAAACGACTTATGCACAGTGGTATTTACAGAATTCAACAGTGTACTGTAGTGGTTCTTCCACATGTTAGAAATCTCCGACATCCCGGAGTGACCATCTACGGTACAGGGGAGACTAGGTCTGGTGCTGTTATATAACTTATAGGAAACTTTTTTTTTTTGCCAAACTTTTTTTTATTCGCACGCTCGCATCAGTTTTGGGGTTCCCAGAAGCTGTCATCCATATAATCAAATCAACATGGCCTTACATAAACAGAGAACTTCCCAGGACTTACGTACATGGGGCGAACGTTGGATACAGGTTACAATAGACTCTACCAGGCTTCGGGAGGCGGCTGAAAAGAGTAGAAAATTAAGAGATAGCATGCCGAGGGAGTTGATCTTCTGGAGAGAACAGTTTGCCGCTCCCGACGATTTCTACTCTTTCCAGCCACCTCCCGAAGCCGAAGATACAGGCGGCCAACATATAAAAGTCCCCTTGCCCCACCGAATCTGCTTGGAGATTACCCAGGATGCACCTTACCGGCCGGCGCGGCGACTTCAAAATGGCGGAAAGACGTTCAAAAAATCAACACTTTGGCGGGGAATTCGGGCCATATCTCGTCGCTGATAGGTTATTTTTTGCCGACTTTTGAGCTCCAAATACTGAGATAGAGCGTCGGGATGGAGGTGGAATCCAGCCACACCGGGAGTGGAGTGTTTGAGCCAGCAGCTCTGTGCAAACCTGTGCCGACGTCTGCCACCAGCACCAACTCAAACAGGTCTGTGGTAGTTTCATGGTATCTTCTAGCCGCGGCGACTGTTGCAGGGCTTCTCTTGCTTGCAGTCTTTTACATTAGCCCTAATGTAAAAGACTGCAAGCAAGAGAAGCCCTGCAACAGTCGCCGCGGCTAGGTATCTTCATGGAGGTAGAAAAAAGCTCCATGGTATCTTATAGCATAACTGAGATCCAAACAGTTCGATTACTTCTGCTGAGCCGTGTTTTAATTTGATCCGTGTGTTTTAACTCTACTGATAAGTATGTGGTCTAAATTCATGGTTCACAGAGAGTAATACCAAAAGTCTAGGATTGTACAGATGAGGTACTAAGCTAAGGCCACAGCAAGTAACGTTAAATTTTATGGATGACATCCTCCGCAGATTCCAAATCTAATGCGAGCGGGCGAAAAAAAAACAAGGCAGGCCAAAAAAACAAGGTTCCTTGGTGTTTTTACTCAATCATTGTACAAATGGTTTTGATTCAGTGGGAACATCACATATACACAGCCAACGTCACATATGGCCGATCACATATCACTGCTTCAAAATAAGAAACAAAACATTAAATCAGAGTCTTGTCTTGTCTCCTTTCTTCATAGTTATCTGCCATCCACCTTCCGGCATGGCAACAGACCTCTTTGCCCATTTTCAGCATGTTGACCACTGTCAGAAGGCAACAAAATAATCTTTTTTTTTTTCCAAAATCAGGCAAAAATTAAGGCGCGCGCTGATGTCATCCATAAAAATTACTTGCTGTGGCCTTACTATAAACGAGATCCAAACAGTTTGATTACTTCTGCTAAATCGGGTTTATTAATCCATATGTTAACTCTACTGACACAGGTAACTTGTTATATGGTCTATTGAAAGGTTCACAGAGAGTTACCAATGGTCTACGATTACACAGATGATGTACTAACAACAGTAACAGTTATACAATCTTCTTATCTACAGAGGACTACAACTAGACATGTACATTTGTACACATACCTTGAGTCCTGGGTCTAGAACTGACTAACAAGGCATCTCTTCCAAGCTGAACTATGCTAAAAATGGTCCTTCACCTGATTGGTTACTCTCACTAACCAATCAGTGCCTACCTAACGTGCTAATATATATGCAAACATATCTCTCATATTAATATGGTCTCCTACTAATTACTATAATTCCTAAAACTATAACCGTTACAGGTCTATCTACAGTGACATCACTCCTGGTCAAGACAAACGGGAGGAACCAGTGGATGCCTCAGAGTTAGTGGAGTTAAAAGGGTGAGAATGTTCACTTCAATGACTGTTTACAATTATTATAAATAACGTTACATACCTAGATTATAAATGATCATTGTCGTCTAATCATTAAATGCATGTGTTGAATCATCAATGTGTTCAAAAGTATGACATGACATTATTGTAGATTTGCACTTGAAAATATAATTTGGAATGTGCAATTTTGCACCTAGAGGGGGAGGGTGGCATGTTGCCGTCAAAGAAGCAAAAATTAACATTACGTTATTTTTATAAAATAACATTATATTTTACTTGACATATATCGTGCTCAGAAATCAAGGGAAACAAGAAAATAATTTAGTGCTCTCAGACTGTTGCTAAAGTTTCTTCATGTGCCATACAGTTCCAACAGTTACTCTAGTGTCTGGAAAACAGACACTAGAAGGACTAAACATAATTTTGCATATAAATTTTTCAAATTGCACCTAAAATTTTTGCCAACGTTTAATTTTGTAATCTCCAAGCAGATGTTTAGGTGGTGCAAAAGACAGTATCAAATTGGCTAATGGTACAGTCTGGCCAATGGATACTGCCTGGCAATTTGATACTGTCTTTTGCGCTACCTAAACATCTGCTTGGATATTACAATTTTGCACGTACCCGAAAAAAAGTATTTCGAGCCCTGCCATATACACCTCGATGCGGGACATTAACCCATAGAATAACCTGATTTCAGGACAAAGGAATGGGTGAGAAGGCAACTTGTGGAGCATAACGCAACACTGCTTGCACGACAACAGGATGTAGCTGCTGAGAACAGCACTACTCAAGAGGAAGTGAATGCCAACATTCTAGAGCTGCAGTCCCAGCTACAGGACCAGTCTACAAAACTCAGTATGCAGGAGCTGGTGTTGGAAAGGTGAGTATTATCATGTCTTCTGGTTATATGGACAGAAAAATTTAAGATAATTGATTTGTAACACTAGAAAGGTAACATTTGCAAAGCAAATGCATAATGTTTACCTGTGGACATGGTCTGCCCTGTTAATTTTTACTCAAACACATTCACATACATGTACTACTAGTATATGGTGACAGGAGTAGAGCAGACCATGAAATTGCAACATTATGTAACCCAACACCAGTTACCATGGTGACAAACATCAACAAATCATGTCATTGGCCAGGTCAGAGGTTAGTGTTTAGAACAGAAGAGGAAGAAACTGAGTAAAAACAATATGTTTTCCTTCGGTAAACATATATAATTAGTGGCTACAGGTTGTCTTGTACTTGAAGATGGGAAGGATATCACACTCAAGGCTTGCCTCAAATTTTCAGTGGCATTCAATCAACATGGGGGCCTGCGTGCCCTTTTTCATAAGGCGTAATCAGACCTTTTTACTAATTTTAGTCTTGGTAATCCGTAGGCAGCCTCCCCCAAAATCAATGTAATTCATAGTACTAGTACTGTACATAAGCCACATTCAGCATAAAGTCATAATCAGCTCTGAGACTTTAACGTAAGTAATTCGTAATCGGCGGCGAAAATTTTGCGTAATACGTAATCACTACCCCCCATGCAGGCCCTCCAACATGCAGCTTATATTTTTGGCAACGTCTCAGGGAGGAGCCTAATGGTACAGTATTGTGTGCAGTTTGCAAGAATTCTAGGAATGGTACAGGCATTTTGTCCACAGGAAATGGAATGTCCACAGGTATGTCTCTGACCCACATCTATGCCCACATTCCTGGAAACCCTTGGGAAGACCTCTCTGCCCCGGATGGCCCTACTTTCTGTGACCCTGGGGCTCGTTCACTGTACACTCGGGGAAGGAGTGCACTGTAGCTGTGCACTGTATCAGGTACCAAGGCTTCCTCAAAATCATGAAATGATGGCAGTGCCATGTGAACAATAACCCTAACAGTAACCACTGTCGCCATGGCAATGTATGTTTCTCTCCCTATGCAGGCTGCAGTGTGGAGATGTGCTGTCCAAGTTCCTGTTCGACCCACCTGATTCAGAAACAACAGAGGAAGTAGAGCCATCAGACAAGGAGAAATGGAAAATTTCTGAAATGGTGAAGAAGCAGAACGAACTTGTGTTCGAACTTGGCAAGTGTCACAAGGATGTGCAAGATCTGCAAGAAAACCTGGACGAGGTGAAAAAGAAGAGTTTCGAACAGCAAGTCAGGAACAGGGAACTGATGACCTTGGTACAGCAGAGGAAGGAGGAACAGCAGGGAAGGTCACAGGAGGACAGCAACGACAGGGTCAAGATGTTGGAGAGTAAACTGGCTCAGGCCATGTCTGACATTTCCAGACTACAGCACATCTACCAGGCCCTGGTGGTGGGGAGTCAGGTACACTGGGCACAGGACCCTGACCTACAGGAGCTCATGATCAGTCTGGGATCTCCTCCTGACATCTGATTAACATTGCAGAACTCAAGCGTGTATCAGGCCTAGGAAAAAAAATAAAAATGTTGTTTCTTGTTTCAGTCCTAAAAAAAGTAGGGTCAGTAGGTAGGGATTATCTTTCTTTTCTTTTTCGTCAATGTTGGAAAACCGATTGTACATCACTCAAATGACAGATCATGGACTCTGAGATAGAAAAGGATGATCAGCTCAAAAAGATTTATGTCCCTTGCAGGGGTCCACACACTCACACACACAAAAGGCTAGGGTCAGTTAGGAAACAGAACATTTTTTTCCTTGGCCTTATAAAATGATGGCTGATCTGTGCAACAAGCAGTTCAACTGCATACTCATACCTGTACGCATAATTACATGTAAATGTTTGTGTTGAAGGATTTTTGTTAACATTAAAAATATAACGTACAAAATGTACAAAACCTTGTGGCAAGCCCCCTTAATGTATACATGCATGACAGGTTACAAAGAATGTTCCTCTCGAGCATTATGTACACTTAGGCCACACCAATTTAATTTGTTGGTTCTCGGATTTTTTCAGAAAAAATATGAAGCGACAGGGCGAAAAAAAATAAAAATAAAAACAGGTCTAGGCATCCTATTATAGGCTTAAATGCTACAAAATGAGCCATGAAGTCAACACAAAAGGCTGGCTTAAAATTTAAACATTGAATTTTGAACTTTTAATCAAACCACTGCAATGATAGATGGGAAAACTGTAACAACTAGGAAGAAAAGGACTTTCCTCTACTGTTGGGGGGCAAAACATAAGCATTTTTCAGTTGATTCAGGACCAGAATCAAATTTTTTTTTTTTTGCAAATCAGAAAAAAACGAAGAGGCGAATCCGAGAACCAACAAATTAAATTGGTGTGGCCTTAGGAGAATAGTGTATGACAGAAATAAGGTTTGTTGTTCAACTATACACTCTTGAAGATGGCATACTTTTTATATAGTAAACATTGATTCAAGTATCTGTTCTTTTCCTGCTTGTCAACTTTACCATACCATTAGGACAATATGTTCTGAGAAGATGTCAAGCCACCAGGAGCAAAAGTCATTCCAATAACTAGAGAGGTAAAAACAATCTACGAACAAGTGGTTTAGGGTTTGTTTGTTGTTACAAAATGGGCAGATGTCTGAGTCGGTAACTTTAAATTTCTTTCTTTCTTTCATTTGTAATATGGTAGCACATAATTTAGAGTAGGTTTAGTTTAGTAGGTTGTAATTACTTTTCTTGTGGGATAGTCTTGATACCTAACCTCATGATCACCTCTAATTTTAAAGGACCGAGCTTGAATATTGAGCTGTATGCTGAAATCTCCAGTGAGAACAATTCTTCGTGTTGGAACAACAGTTTTAATGAAACAGAGAGCTTCCTTGTGTTTTGCGTCAATCAAGTTCTGTGTCTCACCAAAGACGATTGACAACGTACTGTATGATAAAGGTATGACATAAATGGATAAAAGTTGGCATCACCGTAAATAAAAGAAAAAGACGTGTGAATCAAAGCTGACATTACTGTAAATTAATTATTATTAATATATACATTGTACTAGTATTTGAAGTGGTAAAATTAAAATGTCATTTCACAAATAATCCATGAGTTTTTCAATGCAATGGAAGCTATGTCCTTGAAAGGCCAACGAATTTCGAAATGGACAGTTCAGGGATGTGGCACAGTAATGTACACGATGGAAAATGGTCGAGATAAGTTTCGTTAGATATCAACAAGGAATTTAGATTTCACATAGTCGGTAAACACATTACTAGTTACCGTGTGCTTTCCAGTCAAGTTTCAGGAGCGTTTTGTTCTAAAGCCTGGGTACTATCCGATTTTTAACGGAGCTCCTTGCACTCTCTCTCCCGAAAAGGCGGGCGAACGTGCCCGGGTGCAAACCGGATGGCAACCGGACTATAGTTCCTAACAACCTCCACGGCACGCAAAACGGTATTTACGGATGCTTAAACTACGCTTAAAGTCAACGTATATTCCATCTTTACGCATCTATACACGTCTTGTACGAGATCCTACGGAAAGACCACGTAAAGATCGTCGTTACGTGGTCTTTCCGTAGGTGAGGATGGATCCTAATTTTCCGGTTTTCACGTAGCCTTTAAGCACTTGTGTCTTAAATAATGATTAAGATATTCTTAAATTGTATGTAAAGTTGACGTATTTTAAAAAGCGGTTTAGGGATCCAATGGTTGCCGTTGATCCCGCGTATGGGAACTTTCAATGTGACAAAAATTGTCCCAAGTATCCTTGACCTGTGCGTGGCAACTTGGTAGGTTATTGCATCAGCACTGCGAACGCAAATATCTTCGCGATAACCTTTATATCACAGGTATGCAAATAATGCCACATGTAATTTATGATGTAAACAATGCAAATTTAATTTGTCAAACAAAGGACGAAGTACTGCCCCGGGCAGTACAAGTTGGAGTGAAGATCCTGTCAAACACAGCCGAATATGGTCTCACGAACACCGACCGAACTCGCCCCAACCATGAGTAGGTCGGCAGCAAGGTCGGCTGGTGGTCGGCTACTGATCGGCTGCGCCAGACGAATGTTAAAAAAAATATTTCAAACATTCGCGTGCGGGTGTAGACGGGAGGTTCGGCCATAGTTGGTCGGTGGTTGTAAAAAGGTCGGGTGTGGTTGTCTGTGACATTTGACCCAAATTTAACTTAAATTCAATCTGATTCGCAAAGAAACGCAGAAACGCAAATTTGATCGATAGCGGCAGGACGTGGTAGCTGAGAAAAGCCCTACCAAATCTTGGAAAATGCCTTCGCAATATGTACACCGGTATGCGGCTGACTTTATCTTTTGCGAACGGTTAACGTTGTTGCGAATCTGTTGTATTACGGGCTGCATGCCTAAACGTAACCTCAGGTACAGGTACAGGTACCGGTACAGGGGCTTTGGTCTGGGCCTGTACTAAACGATCTGACATATTAAAACACGAGGCCAAACTATATGAAATTACACGTAAATGATTTTTATACAGCCACTAGAACCAGCACATGTTTGTACTTAGTGATTCGGTATTTTGCATTGGACCTGTACCTAATAGATTTTCGCGGTACAGTACTGGTATCATAAACATCAGCCGCACACGTGATTTTTCAATAAGGCAAAATTTGCCCGGGTACTGCGTACCGGTACACCGCCCGGTCCGACCGTACGGCATGTTGAGTAGCACGTACGCAGGTAAGCCTATATTGACAATACTAGTACTTATCTCTCTCTGGGTTCACAGCTCACAAACTGTACCACCCTAAACCACCCCACTGCTTACACAGGGTATTGATTCGACCCAAGTCTACGTGAGTCAGTCTCACGTGAGCACTGGTCAACGATGCTGTATGTTTACTATGTTACACACATTAAACAAAAACACCGGTCATTCGTGACAAAGCAGTGCATGCGTGGTGTATTTTACATACCACGTTAACATCTTTTGTAATCCACAAAGTATGTGACTTATTTTGTGACGTAACATTTACTACAACATACCTGATCGATACATTTCCATAGCCTTTTCACCTAGTTTGTATTAAGGAGCTTTTAAGCTAAAAATATATTCAGGAGCTTTTTGACTAAAAAATATTACGATTAAAAAAAAATCGTAATATTTTTTAGCTCCTTGCTTGTATTCAAGTTACCTATTGAAGACGCAGTCCACAAGTTATGAACGGACATATAGCTAAGAACCACTCTTGCTAGTTTGATATTTCCGGGCGGCAAAGCAAAAATATTTTGCACGAGGAAATCTGTCTGATATTGACATTTACTACCATTTCTTAGCATGTTATCGTCATCATTTCATACTTGGCGCATTTGAAATAAGCCCTAAAACAAGCTACGTGAGGCATCCCTTTATTATAATTTATAATTTTTGCTACCACCCATAAATATCTAGAACCAGCCTACGACACAAAACAAGCAACTGTTTCCGTCAGCAACATTTTTTTTGTATCGTATACTGTATTTGCCTCACAGATATATATCATTATGCTACGGCATATGACTGATTCAACTACATGAAAAAAGATTACCAGCAGCAAACTTTGAAAGTCCAGTTTTGCTGCCTTTAAGTTGCATTAATATTGGATACCTCTAATCCTCGGAACTGGCATTGCTGTTTTATACTTACACATGACAGCCTCTATACACGCAGAAAAAACAAGTCACCATCCGATTGATTGTTTCATGATTTAATAAAACACTGTACACAAAAAGGAGCCATACAAGTTGTCATAATGAACATGAAATGCACTCATACCGAGGACTTCAGTTCACATCAAACTATATGTTCTTTTCCCAGTTGCAGTGAAAATTCTCTACATTGTAGAAGTGTTCTAAATACAATCACATTTCTTTAATTTATTAGTAACATTCTAGTTGTGAGGGACGATTCCAGCAACTCCAGATGATTGCTACTACAAACATATTCTGTCGTCATACAATGAATGGTAGCATCCAGTGCTCTTTGTTCACCTCGGTCAGACGTATGATGAGGAATCTTAGGCAGGGCTCGAAATACTTTTTTTCTGCATATACCTGCAGTGGAGAGGGACCTTCAGGCAGTAAGCATGAGCTGGAAGGAAGCCTTGAGGCTGGCTGCTGACAGAGGAAGCTGGGCTGCTTTGACTGCCTCATGCGTCACGAGACGCGGGAGCCCCTAAGTCTAAGTCTAAGTCTGAGTCTAATATACCTGCACTGGTGCAGGTAACATTGAAAATTACCTGCACCAGACCATGGCCAATTTTATCTGCCGGCACTACTCAGACTATGGGCAGTATATGGGCAATACGAAAAAAAAACTATTTAGAACCAATTCCAAATATTTCTTTTATACGTCATAGATGTTAAACACTCAATGCAGCAAATAAGAATCCACATACATCCACATTTGTATATACGAGTACTGACCCAGTATATGGACCAGTGCAGGTTAGGTGTAGGCAGACATCAGAAATATCTCCACAGCCCCAATTTTACGTACCTGAACTAAGGTGCATATGCACTCAGTGTTTCGAGCCCTGCTAGCACAACTAGAATAGTTTTACACATAACAAGGTAGCTAGAAGTACCTACGTATACAGAACGTGCATAAGCCGTCATTGTAACGCATGTGAGAACACGTCACATCTGGCTTTTACTGCAAATTCTGTGTGAAGTCATTTCATATCGTCATTCGCTAGCCTCCACCACCAGGCCTTCCTACGGGGGTACGGATCATAGATCTAGAATTCGGTAAAAAGGGAAATACCGCCCCCCTCTCCGGCGCGGGCATATGAACTCACTATAATTCTAGCATAACATACTAGCATTTTCTCCTATGTGTGTTAACTAGACCAGAAACACATTATGCATCAGTGGTATATATTCTTTGGTCCCCACGGCAAAATACGTGTCTTTGTTTCCATTATACTCAGCGCCAGGTATTTTTTTGGGTCAGCTCTTTGTTAGATGCTGGGTCGTAATTGTAAGCCATAGGCGGTCTACAGTTTCCATAACAACCGTTTCGCCTCTGGTGATGATGGAAAGAGGTCAACGCCCGTAAGAACATTCTGGGTACGAACGTTGACCCCCGGTCTACAAAGGTCGACCGTAGCAAGGCCACCTATCAATGATTGGCCCAGCGGTGACGCAAATATCTCTCAATCATGTGATTTGTACACACAAATGGTGGGTAACAGTAAAAATAATCAAAACTAACGTGTTAAGTTTAAATTCTAATCCGATACAAATTAGGCTAAGCTTCCTGCATTGGATTGAACAGTAGCTAAGGTACACAAGAAATTTCTAGCCTCCATCAGGCCTAAAATCCTACGGGAATGCAGATCGTAGAATTCGGCAAAAAGGAGAGTAAAATTGGCCAGGGGAGTCGAACTCCCCTGGCAAATATTTTCCTGTGTCTATAGCCAGCGTAGTTAGTCTGGTAGAGACTAAATTTCATGGAATAATCAAAACATGTCACGAATGCAGTGACTAATTTCTAATTTCGTTCTCAAAAATACCCTGTTCCATCGAATTTGCAACAAAAGAAATTACGAGCCGTCATAGCCAAGGGCAAGGTTAATTGGCCTATTACAAAGGGTGTGGAGGCATGTCGGATAACCTTGACATTCAACTCCCCAACAACCTTTGGTATGTATTTAAACATGCACACGCCAAAGTTCAAACTAAATTCGTGCGTTTCACTTAATCCATACTAGATGTACTGAGAAATTCCTCTTTCCACATATTCTCTCACATTGAAATAATGATTACAAAGCAAAGTTGTTTTGCTAAGATCCGGTTAAAGTTACACAGTGAACACAGGAGTGGTTTAAAGTGCAAAGATGCCGGGGTGGCATGCATTATGTTTTGTTTTTATAATTTTTCAAACTCGTAAACTGAATGACACCTTTGATATTATCAGTGAATAACACCACAGGTGGAGTTCAGATAACTCTTGAAAATTCACGAGTAACATGAATCAAACTAAGGCAAACATGTTGTGTTTCTGGTTATAATATTACCTGACAGACCCTAGCCTTTTTGTTGCCTGCTGACGAGAGACATCGATATCATGAAAGCTTTCGATCTGACATAATGTTTGCATACCGGTACACTGGATCGGACCCGAACCGGACCTAATGTTTCGGTTCAAGGCCAAATACCAGTGCACAGCTGCATTTCAGTGTTATATTAACTGTATTTGTTGAATCACTCTCAAAAATGTAAAAACAAAACAAAACATGAATCCTTACCTATACGAATCCTTACCCTATTTTTTCAGGACCGTAATACCAATAGGAAACACAACATTAATTTTCCTAGACCTAAGCAGAAAGCATATCCAACTTGCAAGCGTACGGTGGGATCTTCAGTTGAACTTCTTCATCTCCTTGCCGACCAGCCCGTCGTGCCCGTCGAACGCGATCTTCTCCCGGCGGTCGATGGCTCGCTGGCGGTCCTTCAGGGTGAACTCCGTGCCGACCAGGCGGTCCCAGATGGAGAAGAACGGCTCGAAGTTGGAGTAGGGCCGCTGGTGGTGCAGGTCGTGTTTGATGGCGCCCCCGTACAGCCCGAACGGCACCCAGTGGATCGGGGACCAGGGGAGGACGAACCCGCAGTGCGCCTCCACGGACACGGCGATGCTGATGAGCATGTAGACCCAGATGGTGAAGCAGTGGCTGTCGAACAGCCAGGGGTTGATGGTGGTGAGGATGCCCACGGTGATGAGCTCCCAGGGATGCAGGTACTGGGTGACCCAGGAGAAGGGCGAGTGGTACTGGTGGTGGATGGCGTGGAAGTGCTTGTACAGGAAGCGCACCTTGTGGTGCAGCCAGTGCCAGGCGAAGTACTGGAAGTCGAAGATGATGAGGCTGGCGCCGATGTGCCAGGTGAACTCCCAGAGCCCGGGGGAGACGGGCGGCAGCGGGGTGGGCGGGGTGTAGATGTACTGCCCCACGGCGGACGGTAGCACGTACAGGAAGTGGTTCCAGAAGGTGATGACCATGGTGTTACGCACCATGGGCCACGTCACCTCCTTGTCAGGCTGGATCTTGTACTTCTTGGTCCAGTGCCACTCCTTACCCCACAGGTCCACCACCATGAATGGCAGGATGCAGGAGAAGTAGAAGCCGACGGACATGACGACCGGGAAGAGCGGGGAGCGGAGCGCGTCCTCCCCCCATGGTCCCTGGCGGACAAAGTCCCACACCGGCTGGAGCACGTTCTGCTCCGGTGTTACGTACTCGGCGATCGGCGTGACGAAGTCTACCAGCCGCTCCAGGTTCAGAACCTCAGCCGCCATGCTTAAATTTGATTCTTTTTCTGCCCCGCTGCTCTTATTATAAACCTGTTTGTGTCCGTACGCACAGCGACCTATTTAGCCGGCCTCAAGGGACCAGTATCTCAGCTGTTGTCGCCGGCAACGTATCTGAACTATGAACAACAATCAACAAATAGGAAACCGTCATTTAGAACAGTCTGGAATCATATCATGGTGTTTCCTCCCGCTCAAAGGTTAGATAGCTCACGTGAACAACTTTCTGTGCCAATAGGATATCCAGAGTCCACGGGGTAAAAATTAAACCTGATAGAACCTGTGCCCCTGGCCCGGTAGGTCACGCCCCGCTGCAAAGATAATATTACCTGCGAGTAAAAACAATAATAATAGAAATAAAGCAAGGGAGGATTCAGATAATATTATGCTTCAACCAATACAAAAATTCTATCAGATTTGTACTCTTCAATTGTAAACTATTTGTTGAATTTATGGAATTCGGTAATATGGTGAAACAACTTTTGCCGTGCGAAGCATTGCGATTTCATGTGATCTTCTCAACATCTCGCGAGGTCTCGCGAGATACAAACGATACCAGTCGTCGATACCATACGTAGAAAGGGGGTTTTCTTAGAAAATTCTGAATTCTAAAATAAAGAGCTGTTATATCGCAATATTTATGAAAAAATATAAATAGCTTATACAAAATTACCTGATACGTTATCAAGGGTACAAAAGCTATCGTTTAACACAATTTGACCCGCTAAGTAAAAACACCCCCATTTCTTTCATAAAAGTTACGAAGTCCTAAATAAAGTCGAAACAAGATGGCGGTCGGTCCGCAAGAAAATGCCAACTTTTAGCCTAGATATGGGTTTTTCTCTCCCATTTGCCTCTTTGGAGGTGTAGCCATCCCGTCTGCGTTGACAGCGATGGCGAAGTTCCCGAAGAGAAACAGAGAAGGATGAAGAAAGGCTCGACCGGGCCGTCGAAAGCGGCCGTATCTATGTCTGCTGCAGGCGTGAGCTCAGTTTTGGCAGAGACGAAAAGAATTTACAGGTAAGCCCACACCAGTTTCATTTGTTGGTTCTCAGATTTTTTTCGGAAAAAATATGAAGCAACAGGGCGAAAAAAACCCAGACCAAGGCATCCTATGATAACCCCAAATGGCATGATATTTATTAGCCATGAAGTCAACATACCAGGCTAGTTTGTAAATTCAAACTGGTTAATATATATAATTTCAAACCATAGATAGATGGAAAATATACTATAACAACTCTGAAGAGAAGGGACCTCCTTTAACTGTTGGGACCAAAATATGAGCATTTTGGAGTTGATTCAAAGGCTGAAATGTTTTTTTGCAAATCGGAAAAAAATGAAGCGGGCGAATCTGTGAACCAACAAATTAAATTAGTGAGGCCTAAGTCGCACTTTCGATACGTGAGGCCATGTTGATTTGATTATATGGATGACATCCTCCGGGAGCCCCAAAACTGATGCGCGCGTGCGAATAAAAAAAAAAGTTTTGCAAAAAAAAGTAAAGTTTTACTAATTATGAATACTACGTGGTCATG